CTGGGTGTCTTGTGTCTGGGACAATATACACACACACTACACTGGGTGTCTTGTGTCTGGGACAATATCCACACATACTGCACAGGGTGTCTTGTGTCTGGGACAATATACACACACACTACACTGGGTGCCTTGTGTCTGGGACAATATCCACACATACTGCACAGGGTGTCTTGTGTCCGGGACAATACCTCCAAATACTGCACTGGGTGTCTTGTGTCCGGGACAATACCTCCAAATACTGCACTGGGTGTCTTGTGTCCGGGACAATACCTCCAAATACTGAACTGGGTGTCTTGTGTCTGGGACGATATCCACACATACTGCACTGGGTGTCTTGTGTCTGGGACAATACCCACACATACTGCGCTGGGTGTCTTTTGTCTGGGACAATACCTCCACATACTGCACTGGGTGTCTTGTGTCTGGGACAATACCCACACATACTGCACTAGGTGTCTTTTGTCTGGGACAATACCCACACATACTGCACTGGGTGTCTTTTGTCTGGGACAATACCTCCAAATACTGCACTGGGTGTCTTGTGTCTGGGACAATATCATCACATACTGAACTGGGTGTATTGTGTCTGGGACAATACCCACACATACTGCACTAGGTGTCTTGTGTCTGGGACAATACCCACACATACTGCACTAGGTGTCTTGTGTCTGGGACAATACCCACACATACTGCACTAGGTGTCTTGTGTCTGGGACAATATACACACATACTGCGCTGGGTGTCTTTTGTCTGGGACAATACCTCCACATACTGCACTGGGTGTCTTGTGTCTGGGACAATACCCACACATACTGCACTAGGTGTCTTTTGTCTGGGACAATACCCACACATACTGCGCTGGGTGTCTTGTGTCTGGGACAATACCCACACATACTGCGCTGGGTGTCTTTTGTCTGGGACAATACCTCCACATACTGCACTGGGTGTCTTGTGTCTGGGACAATACCCACACATACTGCACTGGGTGTCTTGTGTCTGGGACAATACCCACACATACTGCACTAGGTGTCTTTTGTCTGGGACAATACCCACACATACTGCGCTGGGTGTCTTTTGTCTGGGACAATACCTCCACATACTGCACTGGGTGTCTTGTGTCTGGGACAATACCCACACATACTGCACTGGGTGTCTTGTGTCTGGGACAATACCCACACATACTGCGCTGGGTGTCTTTTGTCTGGGACAATACCCACACATACTGCGCTGGGTGTCTTTTGTCTGGGACAATACCTCCACATACTGCACTGGGTGTCTTGTGTCTGGGACAATACCCACACATACTGCACTGGGTGTCTTGTGTCTGGGACAATACCCACACATACTGCGCTGGGTGTCTTGTGTCTGGGACAATACCCACACATACTGCACTAGGTGTCTTGTGTCTGGGACAATACCCACACATACTGCACTGGATGTCTTGTGTCTGGGACAATACCTCCAAATACTGCACTGGGTGTCTTGTGTCCGGGACAATACCTCCACATACTGCACTGGGTGTCTTGTGTCTGGGACAATACCCACACATACTGCACTGGGTGTCTTGTGTCTGGGACAATACCCACACATACTGCACTGGATGTCTTGTGTCTGGGACAATACCCACACATACTGCACTAGGTGTCTTGTACCAGCTGAAGCACGTGTTGACATCCTGCACTTCAAGCAGTTCTCATCCCCCCATCAGAATACACGCTTACCTGCCCCTTCCACAGGAGTAGTGTGACGTAATCTCCCAACGATTACTATTAATAACCCTGATGTGATCACGACAGAGAGTACACCTTGTGTTGCGTCAGTCCACCCACGCCGCGAGGAATGCTAACAATGCAGGGCGCCAGTGTCACCATCAGTTTTCACTTTACAGGGTAGTCACACCGTGTATCAAGAAAAAACAACTTTATGTGTACTGAGAAAGTGTCGAGAATGATATATTCATACGGCCAATTCGTCACGCTCATCTGTTTCTCTCAACAGTTACAAAGGCGACAAAGCATATGTAAACAGTGAAAATGCCCCTCGTGTATTGCGAGTTCATGCACGAGCCTCCTTCAAATGTACTAAAGAGCGCCTATATTTGACGAACCACATATGACGTTGGTGTTATTGAAAACATGAGTGATCGATTCCTAAAACAAGCTGCTGTATAGAAAATACTCGAATTAAACATTCTCCATCGTCATATGAAAATAGTTCTTAATGATAACGCATTCATTAAAATGTTTGTTTCAGTTGTAAAGATATTATCAGTTTGGGAAATTCAATACTTTAGTACATGATTTCAATTCGTTGTAAAGAATACCATTTCTATCATCACCATTATAAAATGTTTAAAGAGTCAGTGAATGTTTCACGTGCTTCAACTGAACGTGCTGCATGTATGTTCATTGTCTACTCACAGCGCTTTAGTTCCATCAATTACGACAGCTGTCAGGGATGTATTCTCTTTGACGTCAGTGATGGCACACGTGATACGTAAGCTACAGAAAGTCCGACAGCAGATGTCACGTCTGCCACAGTTATGTATTGATTATCATTGGGATGCCGACCAGGAACATGCTTTTCACTACTCCTGAATATATCAGAGTAATTTGATCTGTTTACTTTGATTTCGCAAAAGTGAACGAGTCATACAGGGTATTTTGACCTCAGCATAGAGCGAAAGCCATAAGCACAGTACCTACCCATCCCCGGGCCAGCCGTACCCTTTGTTGCCATAATCGTAAGAGGCGACTAACGGGATTGGTTGGTCAGGTTCACTGACTTGGTTGATGCATATCATCGTATCCCAATTACGAAGATCGATGCTCATGGTATCAATCACTGGATTGTCTGGTCCAGACTCGATTTTTTACAGACTGCCGTCATAGAGCATGATCATTGCTGAGTGCGACGTTAAACAACAGACAAACAAACAAAGCTTTCACAGTTCTTAGTGTTTCAGTTGTGTGTTAATATGTTGTAAACTATGGCTCCTTTGTTTTAAACCAGGGTTAACTGACTGTCAAAGACTTTAAACGCCGGACCCGCACTACTTTCCAAACAGAAGAATTCGTGATTCTGCACATGCTCACGATGTTTACTTGTTGTTGCGGATGTTGAGGGAAATGAGTCTGACGGGACCCCTGAACAATCCGACTCCTGCCTACTTCCTTCCTGTTCGTCACCGACTCCCTTATGGAGTCATAAAAAATATAAACATCAGAATACAAACATGTTTATCTGTAGGTTAATTTTTAATTACTTATTGTCCTATTATCAGTTTATCAATTTTAACAAAACTGCGTTCTCCTAAATTTCACTTGTAAGAATTTGTCACATGAAGACCTGCCTTTATTCCTATGTATTGCTAGATATACTAGTAAGATTTCCTACATATTGTATCTTCATGAGTTGAGGAAATGAAGTCTTGTAGCACGTTCGATAGAGAGATGTTTAGATTTATCGCCAAAACATTTCAATGTAGTTCAATCCGTTATCTTACATCACTTTCAATATAAATTCGCAGCAATTGAGATAATTTAAATAGGTAACATACCGTCAAATCCAACATTTCCAACATCTCCTAACTCTGTCAGAATCCGACAGCAGAGCCACAGGGTTCCTCACGTTGTTGAGATGACGTAACGTGACCGGGGGATAATAACGACCATCTGTAGTGTCCGCCCATAACGCCTACATGCCAAAACACCCACAGCTTATAACAACAAAGTTCACAGTTGAATGCACACCTAATACCCTGCCTGTTACCTTTGTCATTTTAATGGAATAACCCCAAGAATATTAGTCAGATGATAATAACAATAATCAAATTAGTTTAGAACTAATCAGTCAGATGATAATAACAACAAGTCACCAGCCAAGTTTCAAAAGATCAATGTATTGGATGGGTGTTTTTTAATCATTGGGTCAAATGTTCTTTTAAGCGGCACAAGCGATTCTCTACCTCTCGGTAGACTCGGTTTCTACTCCTGAGGGCAGCACTAAAGTTGATCTGCGAAATCTTGGGGCGATCTGCATGTTCTGCCTTCTTGATGACTTAAATGAAGTGGTAGATGTTGGGATGTCGATGAGGTAGTCCACGGTTCAGTCTGCTGTGGAATCCTTCCAGATTGTTGTTTGTTCTCAGACCTATGGTTGAGTGATGGTTCCACAATGGCAGCAGGAATTGTGCTCCGTCATCAACCCAGTTGATAACCACATAGTCATTGAATTCAACAGCTCTTGGAACTTTGGGAGTGTCATCCATGGCATCGATCTAGGTGTCTTGAATAACTGCTTGTGGAAGCAGAGGCAGTCCAGGTGCTCTTCTTATCCACTTGCACACTTTAATGTCTTCTTTGTAAGTCCTAAGTCCTGCGTCTTCCTCCAAATGGCTTGGCTGTAATGAAATCTTTTGACATCAGCAACGGGGAAATCTGCCTCCACAGCCCAAATAGCAGCCAACTCCAAGTCAGTTTGTACGCACACTGGGACAAGAGAACCGTTGAGTCACTGTTGAACTTCATTCTTTAGCAATCGGAAAAGTCTGGAGTAGGTACCTTTCTGACGATCCGTCAATAAGGTACAGACAAGACGGTATGTTGTAGAGCTGTATCTTGCATGGATAATGTATACTTGGTTCCGGATACGAGTTTCTTCTAGGTTGTAGTTGGTTAGTTCTTCGCTGTACAGTGTGTGCATCTGTGTTGTTTCTTCTCTTGCTCTCTTCTTCAAGTTGCTGACAAAGCAGACACGCTGCATGTCTTCTGGGGGATGGTTGTGTTCTGTAGAATTCCTAATGATATTACCAACTGTGGTCACTTTCCCTTTACAGGTGTTTTTAACACACTTCCAGTGAATACAAGTCTTGGTGAGACGATATCTTAAACAAAACTTCTGGAGACTGGCCATTTTTTGACAACGCTTATATACCACAGCAAACGTACTCGTAATATAATTGGTTGAAATTGGTTTATTTAAATACTTTAGGTACACTCATGCTTCAACCTTTACTCGGTTTTAAACCAATTCTGTATTTCCCGGGACAGTGTTAAAAAAAGGCAAACCTGCTTATTCACCAGTTCAGGTTTCTTTATATATATAATATGTTTAAACAAACCAATCTTAAGTTAATTAATATAATCTTTTACTCAGTTTCAGTTAATCTTTCCAAATGTTAATCCAGCTTGTCTTTACTTGCTTCATCCTTCACTCTTCACTCTGGATTAATTAGTCTTTGAGACTGTTCCATTATAAGTAGGTGAAACCCCTTTGTTGTTTTAACCAAGTGTAGGGGTACTGGGCTGTAGGTGTTTTTGGTGATAACCTCATCTGTGGGTGCTGCACACACAAATCTCCGCAGACTATCGTTCAATTCCTCGTCGTTTACATCATTCAGCTTGTTGGTTATATGTTCGACATACAGTATCTCCTTTTGAGATTTTGTCATTTCTTGCAATTTGTCAGGTTTCGAAAACATTGCAAACCCATATCATGGACTTTCTTGTCCTTTCTTGAATATATCTTTGTCCCACTGTGACAATTTCATCGTCAGGTTTCGGGTCCACTTCACAATTTAAATACAGGTAGATTACTGGCTGGTCTTTGCAGGGTATCTTCAATACTCATTACTGCTCGAATTTAACATGTCTCATTGAACTCATTGCGAAGATAGCGGCATGTTTTCGTTAAACACGTTCATCACATACTAGTATAATATGTGCAGTGCCCCAAGGGGGATAAACATCTTCTAGTATGGCTGCCTTTCAACTTTTCCTCGTGCAATTCCTCCAAGTCTGGCCTGTACACGGTGATGCGGTTGTTAAAGTAGAAACATAACCATAAATTGATTTGTAGGACTTTAATATTCTTTTAAAATGATGTTTATTCAAAGCAAATTCACCCTAAACTAGTTATGTTTGCACATAGGTGGTGTCAATTCTTTCAGTGTTTGCTCGTGGACGGAATGACCACACTGGAGACTAAACTGGGCACATAACATGTCTGTTAATTGTTTTGCCGATTTGAAGTTTGGAGTCACGTTGTGAAATAGATGGATAGAGGTTAGACGGATCGTAGCTGATTGAAAACAAGGGGCTATTTTGGAATTCAATTTAAAGAATTTCATGTCTCATGCCTTCATGTTCTTCCAACTGATCAATGGTATTGCTCTACTGTGGTTCAATAGATCCACGTGCATGTATTTCAAAGAAACATTAATTATCTGTTACATATTCCGAAAGACGTTTTGCATATTAATTATTTACAAAGATGAAACCAATTTGTCATAAATTTACAGTTCTTCTTAAATGTACGATCAAAACATATTTATATAGTTGTTGGTCTTTATGACGATAACACAGAAAGTCATTGTCCACCTACTGGGGCCTATCAGTGTTATCTCAACCTCCAATCTGTTTGCACAGGATGTACCCAAACTAAACTGGGCTATCTACAAGGTGGCTTATCTCCCTGTCCAACACCAGTAACTGGGTTCTCACTTCCACTCCATATATGCCAAGACGTGTAGGCAGCGGTCTGCTGATAACCATTTACCCATAAGGGAAACTTACATCTTTGTCGCAATTCACACATACTTTACACTGGGGCAACAAGTTAAATTGGTGATGAATGAGTGAATGAGTTTGTGATTGTTTGGGGGTTTGTTTTGTCCAAAGGTTTTCTGACAACCTGCAATCTCTACATGAATGCTGACGTGAAATCCCGTTCTGTCAAGGTGTCATCCGACAACCTTCAATGTCTTCATGAATGCTGACGTGAAGTCCTGCTCTGTCCAGGGGTCTTCTGACAACTTGCAATGTCTTCATCAAGGCAGCCGTGGAGTCCTGCTCTGTCCAGGGGGCTTCTGACAACTTGCAATGTCTTCATCAAGGAAGCCGTGGAGTCCTGCTCTGTCCAAAGGGCTTCTGACAACCTGGTCAGGGTGTCATACTTTTAATTAATAAATAACAGGTCTCAATACAAAATCCCCCCTCCCCTTTAAAAACTAACGTCACTCACTCACTAAGTAAGCTACCCGATGTTGAACTGTACATAGTATTCTCCGAGGTAGACAAGATGTCAGTGCCTGGAAGAGATTCCTCAATTGGTTGAAGAAGATCACCATACACAAATGTTTGCATTTGTTTGTTCATTTAACAAATATGCAGTGCAGTGTAGAATGTTAATCCATGCGTGCTGCCAGCTGACATGGGTGTCTTTACTGCCTGCAAGAAGAAACATCGACTCCATTGGTGTCTCCTTGTCTGTAAAAAAACTGCGCAATCTTTAGGGGCAGAGACTTATTTATCTTCTTAAAAGAGAGCTGAGATTATTTTAGTGTCGCACATTTTAAATTTAACCTATGGAAAGAATGTTAAAAGTTTCTCACTGGTCACTAACACACAATAACTGTACAGTTATAGGTGATTTTTAAACATAACAATGAAAATAGCAGTCTAATAAAGTATTTTTTATATAATATAAGACCATACAGATCAGGCGACGTAAGGAGGTGTTAATTGACATTAATGAATAGCGCTGGGAATTAAAGGTCCTGCCCGGAGGGGGCTTATAGTTAGATGGGATACGCTGTATACATGAAACAGAAAAACACATTGAAACAATAAGGTATTTTGGATAAATGAAGTCTTTAAGAAACTTATTGAAGTGGTTTTCACTAAAACAATATCCCATGAACCTTGTGGAGCTTTTATCCTCAAACGCGTTTTAAACATAGTGACAATATTGAAAGTACAAGTATACAGTAAAGTATACAGATCAGTTTTTGCCTCAGATTGGTCAGGATTAGGACATACTCACTTACTCATCACAAAATAGAAGCAGGTGACGCCAGACCCATTAGACCTCAATGCGGTTACCATGCCTATAGTTTCCCCTGTACCACGTTTTGAAGATGTTGTTGATGCCATATATAGGCGATAGCCATGCCAAAACTTTTAGTGTCCTTGATTGTGCTAGTGGCTTTTGGCATGTACCACTCCATCCAGATACAAATCACAAGTCGGCCTTCATTACACCCGATGGTGTTTTTGAATGGAATCGCCTCCCTTTTGGCCTAATAATGCACCTATGGCATTTCAGCAAACCATTTCAGGCACTGAAAGAAATGAATTGGCGTTACATATTAATATATGTAGACAAGTCACCTACTTAGGCATATCTTCAGCAAAGACATCTATGTCGATCCTTCAAAAATAGATTCAGACATGCAGATCCTACCCCCCATTTCTTAGGTTTGGCCTACTATTATCGCAAATTTGTAGCAAACATTTTGGGCATCACCTCCCCTATATACAACTTTCTGATAAAAAGATGCACCTTTAGAATACTTCAACAGCCCCCAACTTTGCATGTCCCCACCAAAACAAACCCTTCATCCTCACAACTGATCCATCTCAAACTGCAATAGGGTACAGATTAGGCCAACGTGATTCTTGTAATGATGTTGCTAATTCATGTCTTTTGACAATACATGTATCTTCCTTGACATTGGTCCTGTTCTGTTTGCAGGAACAAACAATGTTGGTTGGTAACGTTTCTTTTGCTCGTCAGTATAGGTTATTGCAATAAACTATTCTTATCTATATATATATTTTTGTTGTATTTTCTTCAAATACCACCACCCCCCCCCCCCCCCCCCCCCACACACACACACACACACACACTCACTCACCCCGCGACACAGAGCAGATGCAGCGACGTGTGCCAGAGATGTCCTTGTTGGTTTCCTTGGAGTCGACATCAGGAAGTAGAAATACCCCAACCACAAAGAATTTCATTCTGGCTGCTTGTGGAAATGTCGCCTGAAACTAATGTAACCATAAAATCTATAGCTTCAATATCTCATTCCACGTTTACACAATTTGGCTGTAAGTGAATGAGGCCCAGTCATTTGTAGTTTTGTTTGTTTGTTTATTTTTAACGCTGCACCCAGCAATATTCCAGATATATGACGGCAGTCTGTAAATAATCGAGTCTGGACCAGACAATCCAGTGATTGATAGCATCGATCCACACAGTTTGGATACGATAACATATATCAACCAAGTCAGCGAGCCTGACCACCCGATCCGGTAAGTCGACTCCATGCATGTATATCTTGAACTCATACAGAAACATTCTGCTAATACCCACCAGGATATGCCTCTAGAAGAAATATAATGGATTCGGTGTAGCATTATTCACAAGTTTGATTTCTTCATGCAAAAATAGTCCTCTGGATAAGTGCATATTGGAGTTGTGCACATAGCGCTGGCCGAGATTTGTGCGTGACCTGTTTATTCAGGCCAAGGAGGCGGGACTAACAGTAGACAGTATACTCTGAGCACGAAAGTCGGTCAGTGTATAACCGTGTTAAGAACACACAGGCTGCCTCGCCCGAGGCAAGGCTTGCCACTGATTACGTTCAACATAATGTAAGTTAGGATACAGGTATTCTTGTAAATATTGACATAATGTAAGTTAGGATACAGGTATTCTTGTAAATATTGACATAATGTAAGATAAGATACAGGCTTGCTTGTAAATATTGACATAATGTAAGATACGATACAGGCTTGCTTGTAAATATTGACATAATGTAAGATAAGATACAGGCTTGCTTGTAAATATGGACATGTTAGTTAAGATACAGGCTTGCTTGCAAATATTGACAAAATGTAAGTTAAGATACAGGTATAATTGTAAATATTGACAAAATGAAAGTCAACATATAAGTCTGCTTGTAAGTATTGTCAAAATGCAGATTATTCCATATCATGCAATCATTCTTCTGCAAGCGTTATAATTAACTATGTACAGTGGAAAATCGATTTAAAAAGAAACTGGATAATTAAGTATTTTTGTTGGGTGCCGTACATTCAATTAGTAAGTTCTGAAACCACCGTATACCAGAAAATTCTAAATATACACCAGTACTTCTAACGTCGCACATTTGTGAATACAATGTCACATTCCGTCCATGGGTTCAGTGATCCGTAAACATGATTCAGGTACGCGTAGCTCCAGTAATGCGTTCTGTACGTTCCTCGCGTGTAAAATACTGTTGAACCCGCAGTCCTGGGATATGGGAATAATGTATACTAGACACAAAAAGTTAGGGGTCGTGACTATTTTGGTAGGTATTTTTTTTATCAAATGGTGTGCTGAGTCTTCTCTACAGACAAATATCCCCAGAGATATCCATGCTGATTGTTTTGTTCAGTATACATTGTAATTACAAATGATATCATATTTGGCTGTCTCAGTGTTATCAGACTCATCCCAGGACGTTCTGTCCAAGTCTAGTAGACGCAGTTCACCTTTGATGCGTTTTGTATAGTCGACTAATATATATTAGCGCGATTTGTTTATTTGTAGGACTCGACTTTATGGCAAACTCTCCTGTGTGTGGCAAACAGACATTCTCCATTGAGAGTAGTTCATTATGTGCAATAAGACGATAAATCGTAGTGTGGTGAACCTGTCGGTCTCTTGCCATTCATGTCGCCGTGTTTCCCAGCCCCAGTCATGATCGATACTCGATGACGATCGTTTGTGCCTAAAGTGTTCCTGGTTCATTCCGTGTCCCTCAAAGAACTGTCACTTCCATGAGTACCTTTAGCACCCAACTATCCATGTTTCACGTTAAAAGCGTTCATGTTGTTCTTAGCACGTCCTCAGAAAGACACATTCTTGCCATTTTGTTTCATGGTTATGAACAGTCTGTTCAGTGGTCGAATCTAAATACGGTGCATGGAACGTTTCTAGACATGTTACTCTAGCATTCGTGCAAATAGATCACTTTTGTAGGATACAGATAAGATCGGTAGTTACAACATGAGAAGTGCGTTTCCTCTGGTACTGAGTACACACAAAACCAACAAAACCATAAAATTGATTTCACAACACACTATTTCGATGAGCTGGCAAGGACAGGTATTTCGGATCTTTTGATTAGTTCCTTCGTATAAACCTTACCTAATTGTTTAGTACAAAGATAAATGTAAATATCCTTGAGGATAACAAGATAGCAACAAAACCTAGTGTACTCGATGTTAACAAAACATTGTTTGTGTAGGCGCAGTGATGGTTTGCTTAGGTACACATTTGAAGTAACCAATGAGACTACTTCTGCGATATACAAACTAACAAGGGTGTCTTGCCTGTCAGGTTGTCACACCTCAAGTGGCAACTCCTGGCGGAAAACACTGCACCCTGTTCTGCGGCTACGTCCCATTCAGGTGTTAGCGAACGAAGTCAGTATTGGGCTCACGTCAACTTCAAATCCTGTTTTCATCTGTAAGCTTGGTATTCAGAGTGAGTATGGTCTTATTCCAGCAATATCACGGCGTGGGACACCAGACATGGGCTTCACACATTGTACCCATACCGGGAATGGAACACTTTAACCACTAGGCTATCCGACCACCCCTGGTATTTAGAACCGGAAGTTGGATATATGACGTAAATGGCCGTTTTCTTCCCCATCGCCGTCTTGCATAGATGTAATTGTTTAACGCCGCACTCAGCAATATATTACAGCTGCATGGCGGCTGTCTGTAAATAATCGAGACTGCACCAGACAATCCCGTGATTGACATCATGAGCATCAAACTACACAATTGGGATACGATGGCATGTATCAACCAAGTCAGCGACCACCCGATCCTGTTATAGTCTATAGTCGCCTCTTACAAGCACAGGCTGTTGAAGACCAATTCTAACGGGTCGTATTGGGGTAATTGTACACCTTTACAAAGGACGCTTCAAATGAATTCTACATGTTGCAATTTCTGCCTCACGTAAAAAAGAAACATTGTCTCACTGTAATAACCAACTTCTACAAGTTCATGCAATGCAATTTTTTAGTATTTTTGAGTGAACGTAGTTGGCTGGACTGCCCTAGGATCCCCTCCGGGCATTAAAAAAAGACTGACAGAAGTTTTCGTTTTGATGTCATTTAATCTCGCCAAGCTGTTGGTACAGCAGATCATTCATGCTTGACATCAGACAACATACAGCCACCACTTAACGCCCCCTAACCTGGGGAGAGTGAGGCACAAGCTCATCCTTCCATTCTGATACAGCACACAGATTATAGTCCAATGCTTACAGTAGCATGAGGCTTATCACCTGCATACAAAATCCCATATAAACGTCACGACTGTCCAGGTGATGGTCATTCAGGATAGGCCAGTGGTAACCACGGAAACCTGGCTAGATGTGGGAATCTCAGTTACAGTGAAACCTGCCTAACTTTATAACAGGCAAAGTCAACATAACATACAGAATAACAGACTAACAATGTACAGAAATATGCAGCTACATATCCCCTCAGATTGGATACACATGTAGTTACCTGGAATAAACTCAAACATAACTGTGGGCATAATAAATTAATAACACAGAAAAACAAAATAAACTCCAGATGATAACGAAAGTGTTCAGATTAAAACCATGTAAGAAATTATTTTTGTTTGTTTTCAAGATTGATCAACAGCATGTGAAGATGACATGAGGACAATGTCAACGTCAATTTAGAAATTCAGTCCAAAGCATCACATCATCAAACAATCCCTGCAGAAAAGACTTAATATGTAGATATAAAATAAAAAGAAAGTACTAACTCTTGCCTCGTGAAACATACATGTGAACTAGATGACAGACCACAACAGTTCAAACTTCATCCACGGTGTATCCCACAGATGTGTCTCCTATAGACAAGGGCTGTGTCCAAGAAGACCTACTTCTCTTACCTTAAAGCAGGTTTCACTGTTCGTCACAAGAGCACCATAGAAATAACAATACAGTTTGTTCTTGAAGATGTTCCTGAAGTTGGGACTCGTTCCATCTTGTAATAACCAACTAGAGCTCAACTCGCTTCAGCCAGCAAACTTGCAGCACCCTAGTTTGATTGTGTCCAGTCGACTCAACTTAACAGCTACAATGTTGCAAGCTAATTCATGAGGAATATCAACACAAAAAAAAGGCTGAACTGATTTTTTTTTACATAATGAAATGAATCATGATGACATTTACAATGTGGCAGTGCAATGAAAGTATTTTACATGATGTACATGGGGAAATTTCAGAAATAAAGAACTTCTAAAATGTTTGCCAGAGTGTTAGGTGGGATAAATGGTTGATCTTGCCCAAGTTTGAGGTAAATCACATGGGTCTGCGGTCTCTCCAGGAGAACTATTCTGAACACGGCCAGGAAAGATTTACAACCAAACTCCTGACAATGGTTCTGCAAATGTAAGCCCACATGATTTATCTTTCCCCTGAGCAGGGCCGGAGTTGAGCTCTGTTAGTCGTGCACACAATCATGATATATTACAATGACACCATCATATACATTTTGTTTGACTCAGGCTCAGTCATAACCGTTCATGAAGTATCAAAATGGCTTCTATACTTACAGCTTTTCACAATATATTACTATAAGATAATTTTGACAACAGAAATGCTTGTTTTATCTGGATTCATAAGTCATGGATTTATTTTACATCAATGTCATAATGACATTCAATATCTACATTATAATCATATAATAAACATCAATATATTATTCAGGTGGTTTGTATATACATTTTCTTTGAAGACTATGTAACTAGTGATATTCAGATATCAGGAAAACACGCTTCAAGTATCTGCATTGACGACAAATAGTTCAGTTTAACATGTACTATCTTTTCCTCGTAAAATGGCCAAACCGGTAACAAAACTATATACAACACTATGTGGCCAAATACTTAATTTCCTCTACACTATGAAAACAAGCATTTCTGTGTCCATCAAGCAAATATGTACAGCCTATACAACTGAATACTTAGACTGGTCCAGAACACCATGGATCTTAGGTGTTGCCACAAAACTCTCTGCTGCCGTTTGATGCAACATGGCTTCCCACATAAACATTTGGTTTAATCAAGAGCAAAGAATGTTTGTTAGTCTACAGCCTGTAGAGTTCACAACTAAAGCCAACAGACTAATATAGTACAATATACACAATAACACATGAAAGACATTTGACTTTTTCAGGTATTTCTTTCTTTGTAGTTTTTTTTCTTCTTTTTCAAAGCATTTGTTTCATTTTTACTGACTATGCACTGTTGGTTACTGATTATTTAGTGATTATGTCAGTGGTCAGGTTGCAGCATATATGAAAATTAAAACATGTCTGCTTTTTGTATGGTGGCTTAACCTATGTGTAAAACAATCAACTTCCATTTTCAAAGACTCGAAATAAAACTGTTCAAACATTGGTTTGAGATTATACCCAATCTCCCTATGTATTAAAATGAAAGCTTTCAAGATGGAGGTAAGATAATCATAAAACATGTAAAACATATTAAACCACCATACAAGACTGCTTGCAGTAATAAAATAGTCAATAAATTGTGCTTGGAACAAGACCCATAATGTTACACAAAGAGGAATACTTTCTGCCTCTACAACAACACAGACAACACTAAATGTGCAAACTGCAGAGGTCTGGTTCAGAGGAAGGATAACTATGAACCGTCAGATATGTGACGGTTCAAGTCATCTTCTTGGCGAAACTCATTAGCCAAGTAGTTTGTGCAGAAAGCTTCTGCTTCCACACAAACTGGCTAAACACCCTTGCACAAACAGACAGTGTCTATTTGCCAAGGTATCTATGATTGCTAATTTGCACAGATAGTCTGTACTTGAGGATACAGTTCTCCGTCAGTATCCTGGTGCATCTCTGACCCACATGAGCCCCTCAAAGATGTCGGTTTATCAAAAGAGCAGGATTCTTCATTGTAAAGACGCTTGAATCCATCATAGAACTCCTCTTCCTCGTCACTGCCGCTGGGAGCCACCTTGCGCTTCTTCGACTTATTTCGGACAGGCACAGGCTTGAACTTATACGAAGTGACTCTCTGGCGGCGATGCTCAAGGAATTGGGCTACAACCTCTCGACACCGAATGAGATCTTGACTATCGACCTGCAACGAGACAAACCAGAATAATATATGTTGTACAGGAAGAATACTTGCCTTGGCAATCTAATCATACATTTAAAAATTTTGATTAACCAACTTACAAGTGAAAACTACCTCCAAATAATTCTAACATGGTAAGGAAAGCAATGCCAGCGAGGGCTGGTTACTGCCCAGAAGATCTAGTCCAAGAGCACTGTTGGCTGGTCAACATACTAACCTTGGTCATCTTCTGCAGCAAAATGATGCTAGGCAGCCATGCCGCTGTTATCTGCTCAATTTCCAAACTGATGAGAGCCAAAACGAGGCTCACAGGTCGGAAGGCAAGCAGATGATGGCAGCATAGACACGCAAACAGTTTGCGTGTAAGAATGGTCATGTGACTTGAGGGGGTCATCTGTATCAGACTGTCCAACAGGTGGGGGTGATGTCTCATCAGCACCGCATGAATCTGTCAACCAGAAAACAGAATAGTACATGATACAAACATGCTTCTATGCCTGATATGCATAAGAACAACAGAACTTGTCATGTAACAGGTTTTTTGTTTGTTTGTTGTTAATGCCACACTCAGTAATATTCCAGTGTTTTATAATTTCAAAATAAGTTGCTGATTTGCTAATTGAAAACGCAGGCTTACTTCACAATATTTTGATGATCCACAAGTTTTATTTTTGTAGCTTATCTGTATTTGTCATGTAGCAGGTTTGTTTGTTTGTTTGTTGTTAATGCCACACTCAGTAATATTCCAGTCTGGAACAGACAATCCAGTGATTGATGTAACAGATAACACGATTGTGACTTCTCACCGGTGATGCACCACAACAATGTGTCCATAGTGGGGGAAATGTTTCTGTGCATCTAACAGGTGACACTGACACTAGACAATTGCGAGTACCAATGAATTATTGTGCAGATCAAGAGCAATCCCAGAATTATGAACTTGGTATTCAATCATTGCAAACTTATTCATCACAACAATTACCCACCAGTTTTTACACATGTGGGTATTTAAGTTCATAATGTAAAAACACTATTCATCTAGTCCCTGCAAACTGATGTCGTGTGGGTTCGAGATCTTCATAGGACTCAAAAATACCACAATACTTCCACAAGAAAGTGTGATGGCAAATGATCATGATGTAACTGTCACCATGGAGTTTGGGAAGGTTGACGGAATGCCCGTTTATAATTTCAAAATAAGTTGCTGATTTGCTAATTGAAAACGCAGGCTTACTTCACAATACTTTGATGATACGCACAAGTTTTATTTTTGTAGCTTATCTGTATTTGTCATGTAGCAGGTTTGTTTGTTTGTTTGTTTGTTTGTTTGTTGTTAATGCCACACTCAGTAACATTCCAGTCTGGACCAGACAATCCAGTGATTGATGTAACAGATAACACGATTGTGACTTCTCACCGGTGATGCACCACAACAATGTGTCCATAGTGGGGGAAATGTTTCTGTGCATCTAACAGGTGACACTGACACTAGACAATTGCGAGTACCAATGAATTATTGTGCAGATCAAGAGCAATCCCAGAATTATGAACTTGGTATTCAATCATTGCAAACTTATGCATCCCAACATTTACAATAACTGTAGAGTTATTAAAAAACACATCGTACATAAGATAGGTGCTCAGAGTAAAATATTGTCACAATTAAAGCCCCACTTGTCATTCACGCAATTAATGTTCGAAAGTCCGGAGTATCGACTGGAAAAATGTATGGTCAAACAGTTTGTTAATTTGCATGGTTATGCAGAGCGCCAGATAAGCTTTTGGTGTTGTTGGTATTTTACCCATGCATTTTAAAATCATTGTGTATCAGTAATTCTAGCTGGGTATTCAAATTTCTGTAACCCACCAGTTTTTACACATGTGGGTATTTAAGTTAAATATTTAAAAACACTATTCATCTAGTCCCGGCAAACTGGTGTCGTGTGGGTTCGAGATCTTTATAGGACTCAAAAATACCACGATACTTCCACAAGAAAGTGTGATGGCAAATGATCATGATGTAACTGTCATCGTGGAGTTTGGGAAGGTTGACGGCATGTCCGTTTATAATTTCAAAATAAGTTGCTGTTTTGCTAATCGAAAACGCAGGCTTACTTCACAATATTTTGATGATACGCACAAGTTTTATTTCTGTAGCTCATCTGTAATGTTCGTTGCGTATTTGATACGCACAAGTTTTATTTTACTGCGTATTTCTGCATTTCTGATGCATATTTTACGCAAATACGCAGCTTATCTGGAGCTCTGGTTATGCGATAAAAATTATAAGTAAGTAAGTATTGACATGACTACATCATTGTAATTCCGCAAGTTCAGTTAGTAAAACTTTGCTAAAAGCATGCAGAAATGTTTACAAATCCTTAGCTTGTTCACACATGCACAAAACAACACAATGAATTTGATAGTCATCACAGCCTTAGTCACAATCTATCCTTTTAACAAGTTTAAGGATAGCAGGAAGCTTATGTATATCACTGTGACAAGTCTTTCAGCAAACTCACTTATCCACTTTGTGAAAACATACTAGCATCAATTATCTGTCTACTAGCCCTACTGAGGCTTCAGATGAGTGGAAATTCAAACTGAAACTTACAATGTGAAGAAAGTTGATGGCTGTGACATGCTTCGGATTCCAGCCGAGCTTGTTGAGAATTATTGCTTCCATACGGAGAACTTCCGACACGGAGCAGCCACACTCACTCTGCCTCACAAGATCCAGGGTGCTGGGGATCATCTGCAACATCAAGCCATCCATCAGTTAAACACAACTTGGCAGCCAACAGTTGGTTGCACAGATAGCTTTCCGGGTCATGAGATTCAGTATCCATTATGCAGTAAGAGGCATTTACAGCCTGCACATATACACCTTTTTGTTCTTGTTTTTCCAAAATTGAATTACTTCATTCCCCAAAATAGCAAACATTTCTTTTCAAACAAAAAATACGCAGAAGCAATATTTTCTTGAAGGTTTAAGATATGAAGGCAATTTTAAGTCCATGTATTAAGAAACAAAGTATATTAATCCAAGCATAAATATGACTGCAGATATGACACTAACCTCATCTTCTTCCAGTGTTTTGGCAGCTATATAGAAACAGCTGACTGAGACACAGTGCAGATACTTGGGGCGAACCTGGACATAAAGAAACATGACTCTTCACAACAATTACTCCCTATGAAATAAAGCATAGTCAATTGTGCAAGAGGTCAATGGCACGGCAATTTGAAAACGGTCTTAATGTAAAACATGTAATGGAGAGAGAAATGATGAACATGAAAATCAGTTTCAAATGCACATGGACTTCATTTGCTGAACAATTTGTCACTAATGAGTGTTACAAAATTAACATGGAAAGTTACATTTCATTTATGTGGAAAACGGAAAACAAATACATTCAAAACTTTGTAGATGCGTGGAACTGACCATACTAATTCTTTCTGATTTTATTTTCTGAAGTTTTACGTATCTGCAACTTGCCTTAACAAGTTGAAGGAACCGGTCCAGAATGGATACAGCCAAGTTGAAAGTTTCAGGCATGAAGTGAAACTTAGAGTTGAGGAACACCAACCATGATGCCTTCTCATCCCTCTGCCCTCCACTCAGCTCCTGTAACGTACAAATACCTTATCATGCTTAAATTCAGCTCCTGAAACGTACAAATACCTTATCATGCTTAAATTCAGCTCCTGTAACGTACAAATACCTTATCATGCAAATATTCAGCTCCTGTAACATACAAATACCATATCATGCTTAACTTCAGCTCCTGTAACGTACAAATGTTGTATGCTTATATTCAGCTCCTGTAACGTACAAATGCCTTATCAGGCTTATATTCAGCTCCTGTAACGTACAAATGCCTTATGCTTATACTCAGCTCATGTAACATACAGATGCCTTATGCTTATACTCAGCTCATGTAAAGTACAGATGCCTTATGCTTATATTCAGCTCCTGTAACGCATAGATGCCTTATCATGCTTATATTTAGCTCCTGTAATGTACAGATGCATTATGCTTATATTCAGCTCCTGTAACATACAGATGCCTTATCATTTTTATATTTAGCTCCTGTAATGTACAGATGCCTTATGCTTATATTCAGCTCCTGTAACATACAGATGCCTTATGCTTATATTCAGCTCCTGTAACGCATAGATGCCTTATCATGCTTATATTCAGCTCCTGTAACTCACAAATGTCTTATCATGCTTATATTCAGCTCCTGTAACGTACAGATGCCTTATAATGTTTATATTCGTGTCCCTGAGGCAAGAGTGTCCACATGTCTGCGAGCCTATTTCAAAGCCGAGTTTCTACCCTTGCCATTTCAAGCTTACTTTTTTTTGTGTCTACAGATATGTAGCAATAGAATTTAGTCACCACAAGATATTTTTCTAGGTAGTCATTTGGCTTCCTCTGAATTTTAGACAGTAGACAAACTGAAATTTAGGTCACATTGGCTACCGTTTTAGTCGCAACTTTGAGGCCTGATATGGGTTAATTAATTTATGAACTGTTCTAATTAATAAAATGTATCAATAGTTCAAGCTTCAAATGAGTCTACACCTCAATACAAATTACAGTAAACTATGGTTATAACGTCGCTTTTAGCAATATTCCAGCAATATCACGACGGGGGACACCAGAATGGGCTTCACACATTTTACCCATGTCCGGAATCGAACCCGGGTCTTCGGCGTGACAAGCAAACGCTTTAACCACTAGGCTACCAGACCACCCCTCCAACAGGTAAGAGCTGACTTCTGAAGGACAAAACCCCAAGGGGTAAAGTGACTAAAGTCGTCTGCAGCTGGGAGGCAACATCACTATAATGTAAGCCATAAGCATAAAGCACTTCCAATTGGTTTCCATGATGAGGAAAGAAAGTATAAGCAGACTCTTTAAGCTGGCTTCATCATCATGATAATGGTGGTAGGGTAAAATGAGTTCAGTGATTATTGTGTACCTCTGAAGTTGCTTTGTATGAAACTGGCTTCCATTGTTCCTGTTCCTTGTTCAAGGCTTCCCCCAGCATCTGCACAAGGTGCCTAGCATCCAAACCACTGTGAAGCAGCATCTCCTCCCCCCACGATGCACCACGATACCTGAAACCATATAGTGACGTTGACCAACTCATATAAGACCAAGCATTAACAAGGCAAAACATTCAAAATATGAATTACTGAAAGAAAATATTTTTTTTGTATGAACAGGACTCAAAACGTATGATTTAGACTCCCATAAATACCTGTTTGTGTAAAAAGATTAAGGATGGAATTTACAATTGTTTTTTTTTCATAATCACTTGTTATGGGACCAAATCTCATATCATTAATAGGCCTACCTTTAGAATACAGTACCACAAACTTTTCAAACAGTGATCATTCCCTATGACGTAATTTGTAGTATTTTGTTGCCAGTCACACCGGTGAAACAATGCCCAGTGACGTCAGGGGTCATCGAGTGCGCATAAGCTCCTCCCAGTGATCTATCATCTCTACACGCAATGTAATTGAATACGCCCTGCGGTGTTGAGAGTTTTGAGTATTTGTTTACTAATTATAGCCTGTGGCGGCGGCGCATTTTAGAGCAAGCGCTTGTTTACGAAAGCACTTTTATTTTTTATTTATTTTTTATTTCGTTTTTCTCGTAATTGAAGTGGATAAAATGGTTATAAATGGGAACTAATATACATATATTATTTTTTCATTAATTTTCATTATTATGCACAAGAATGCAGTTTATTAGGGATATTATATTGGCGCTGAACACATCCAAATGTCGCCAGTTTTAGGGTAGGTTACCCCGAACTCTCTATCCTTAGCCCTTGGATCCCCTTTACGATCACCCCCTCATTAGGGTTAGGAACCCGTTTATTGGCTATTATAGATTATATAGCGGCTCCTAATATTCTTCACACAAAAACGTCGAGTAAAAAGGATGAAATGGTTTTGTGTCGAATATTTTGGCTACTGGAAACTGTCCTGGAACATTCACACAAGCCACTTTCACCGGCTACATTTTTTCAGTACTGATTTAAAAGCGAACTCACCGTTGTGTCGTCACTAGTCATGCTTATTCTTCCATTGTTCCTTACTATTATCCACATCATCCTTACAGTGTTCCCTACCACACTTTTCTGTCACAAAAATCACCCGACGAATTATTAAGTACCATATCATTCATGCCTACTCGCGAGTTTGACGTCCGACGCCTAGGCCGTTTTCAGTTCGCGGCATATCGACTCATTCCCCACCACTCGGTATCTTGTAGATTACGGAATGGGACGAGTGTGCCCAATGGCATCGGGATCATTCGTAAGTGTCCATAGACTAAAGTCGCGAGACACCATGTCTACCAGTAACCTTCGTAAGTGTCTGTTACTTATTCGACCCTTTTCGTTCAGTTCCGTAACGTCATAGACATGACTAGGTAAATTTGCACTAAGTTTAACAGTGTGGACGTAGCTCAGTCGGTTAGCTGTCAGGCTAACAATCCGAAGGTCACGGGTTCGAGTCCGACGGATTCTCACAAAAAACTGGTTGCTTGTCTTGAGACATGTGACCTATGGCAGAGATCGTCGTCACGAGAAGTTGTGGTACTGTATTCTAAAGGTGCTCCCATTAATACAATGACACTGACTTGGTACTATCACATACATGAAGTACATACATGGGTACATGAAGGATTCTATTGAAACATTAACATGTATGAATGTGTAAAACTGTGGCATGGGGTCATGTTTTCACACAATTCGCCAAACAAATAATTGTCCTCTACTAATAAAAATATCAAACCATTTAACAGCCAATCCATTCAGATACATTATCAGCACAAGAACTTTGAAAGACTAAAGAGTTACCTTTTTTCCCAACCCGTTTTCTATTATATTACCTATGTACTCAACAGGTTTATAATGAAAAAGGGTGGGGGAACGAAAGGTATTATATCCAAGGGCTACTATAACCGAAAAGACAATATTCATTCCCGCTACCAAACGAGTATCCAAAATAATTAACTTAGAAAATCGCCAAACTGTAGATCGAGATCGTTGTAGAGCAGTTGAAATATGAACCCTCGACAACTTTTTCTACGAACACAATGAAACTTCTAATGAAGTTAGAGCAATGCCAGCATTCCAGTTTCCATTAGCCCAATCAAACGAAATCACGTATGTCAAATTTGACAGGATACATGACACCCAGGAAATGACAGCGTTCCCAATTATCCCTCCCGTTTGTATACACGCCGTGAAAGAAATATTAATCACGTCCAAAGTATGTATGTGTGTGAACACAATCGTGGTCAATGGTAAAATATATATAGAAAATTCAACGAATATTCAATCTGATATTGACCTTGGGAAATCCATGGTCGCCATTGTGAAATTCCGCTTCCTATGGAAATTGTGAAAGCAAATACCGATAAATGCTCGATTATAAAGGAATCAAAATTACCCCATGTCCATAACTCCTATACGACATATCATATGAGTTCATTAATGTATTCACTTGACAAAGAACCAATGAGTTACAGGGCATTTCTAATGTGAGCCAAGGAATCGCTATCTAGGTCACAAAGCGCTGAACTGTCAAAATCAACCGAGTGTCCCTACAACACAGAAAAATGTAAAATATTACGTACCTGACAAAGACCCGGGGACAGTTTTGGAAGAAAGGACGCTCCCTGGTCCATAAACGTTGGTTGCGTTACATTTATTGTCTCTGTACCCCCATAATTCTGTGTTTTCGAAACAAAAATGAAGAGAAAGATATTCCACTTTCCAGATCGTTCCGTTTGTGTTCTAAAATTAGATCTCAACCGGATGATCACAAACCACAATATATCCCTACGCTGGTGGTCACAGCGGTACACGCCGTTTCACATTCCGGAAAAACACTACATGCAACGAAGTAACATATATTGGTATCTTTGTATATCATCAACAATCAATCTTAGAAACATATATGCACTTGAGATGGATCTCATCACAGAACTATACTTTTTGCGCAGTGTTACAGTTATGGTTGATGTCATACTGTGACTAGACCCAGAGCTGTCAAAACTGGCAGGTGCCCGTTCACGGACTGTAAGTGACTACCTTTCGTTCTCAAAGGACAACGATTGAAACTTTAATTTTCGGATTCAAGGTAAACTGCACATATGTAAGTGAATTGTCAATGTTAATTGAGCTTGTTATTGTTTGTGATTTGTTTTGTATATAGAGGTTGTTTGGGCTTTATGCAAATCTTTCGGTCATCCAATAAAAATTCACGTGTTAAGAAGGTGTCCCTGCTAAGCCAATCAACGTCTTCACTGACGGGGAAGCATTAATAGTATTGTGTTTTGTATTTATAGGAGCCAATGAAACACGTTTTTACAAACTTAACTGACTTGCTGGACGGCCGCCAAGATTCGAAAGATTCAAGCTGTCAAACTCAGCTGGGTGACAATGGAGGTGTAGGCAGGTGTTCAAGCAGATAAGCGAAGAAAATCTTGATTTTTTTCATGCTTGGATGAAAAGTCTTCATATGCGGGGTTAGATAAAAAGTAGTTGTTTGTGAAGCAAAGAACAATGGTCGTCCAGAGAGAAATCAAACCAAAAGACGAGATGGTGTTTACGTCTGCCAAGTCACCTGCAGACGACAACAGCCCATATATGGATGATTTTCCTTTATTGCTAAATCATCTGAACATTCAGACTCAGGTTTCGTCAGAAAAGGTATGTGTGTGTGTCTACGAAAGACATATAAGACCTAATCGTAATCATTCTTCCTACCATGTCCAATTTATCAAATGTTATCATGTATCCTGATCTAGACCCATCTGTCTAACTTGGTCTCTTTATCTTTGTTCGAGTCTGTGTGTATCTTACATTACAATTTCAGGAACTGCTTTTAAATTTTCAGTAGGGCGTTTTGGATGAACAATGTTTTTGTAGATTCTTAACTTTTTCTGAGCATACAGTTTGTGGAGCAATGTTCTTGTAGAAGGTGTGAGTAATTTGTAATATGGGCTACTAAATTTCTATGATTTGCATAGACCTAGGCCGAGATGACTCGAAAACACAAATTATATTGATGCTGTGCTTTCTAGCAACCTTTCATGCGTTGGGTATTTAGTATCTTACCATATGCTTTACTTTTTGTAATATCTAATTTAATTTGCTTGCATTGCGGTTTCAGCTTTCTGAGATATACATGAAGCTTCAAGAAACAATGAAAACATTGCAAGTGGATCCTCCAGCCTTGGTAAACAATACTGTTTGTTTTAAAGGGAATATTTATGATGCCACAATAATATATAATTTGTTTATACCACCATGTACTTCAGTAATATTTACTAGCCTACATACCATTGATTATCAATTAAATTCATCTCTTAGTCTTATTATAATTTATGTTTATTCACTTGAATTTTATTATGGTAAAAGGGGATTCAGATCAGTTCATTGTCAAGGACATTGACTGATAAAATTTGGTAATGATACAGAAAAATGTCCTATGAAATGTTGAAAAAGCCATGAAAAGTCCATAAAGCACTTGTCTCCGAGTAAATATATTAATTGTTGGCAACAGTTTAGTGAACTTTCTTAGGGACCAGTGGAATGGTGTCCCAGTGTTCTTGCTTCATTTTAAGGTGCTGTTCTTTACTTTTCCAATTGGGTGAACAATGATCTTAGAATCACTGTTAGCTCAGCTTACTAGACTGAACATCATCTGACTAGATTCAGGCCTTAGACTAGTGACTAAAGTTGCAGACTGTTGTAACAGTTATGAACAACCAAGTCACTGAGTGTGATCACCTGATCCAAAATAGACAACTCTTTCAACATGCATAGGTTACTTTGATCAATTCTATCCCATATTTAAGGGATTAGAAGAAGATAGCAATTTTCATTTTGGTGCTGGAAACAAATTGAGGCACGCCTTTCAAATAGTCCAAACTATTGAAAGCTTAGGACAGCAATTTCCCAGAAAATAGAGTATTTAGTCCATAATTTATTTCAGTCAGCTATTAACATGGGTAATGTAACATTTATTGTAATTTTAATGTTACATTAACAGCTAGTATGAAGGCTACATTAATAATGGATGACCATGTTGTTGGAGTTAACTCATGGTGTCTGGTTCAGCCACCACATGTCTTTATCAATATCATGCTTTTGTCTGTAGAAATGGACAAAGATAACTTCTTTAAATACTTTCACAAATTCATCATGATTTGTATTTTGTATTTACAGAAAAGAAGTGGTATGGATCTGAGATTGAGAGCTGTCACTATTATTCAATGTCTCCATCTGTTCTTTGGTGGGACTAGCGATGTGTTTGCAACATCCATTAGCGTCTTGGACTCTTTCATGTCTCTCGTCCGAGTAAGTCTCATTATGAAACTATCTTAGAGTAAAGACATTTAATTTAACATTTTTATAAGAATAAGACAATATATTTTGTGCCTTCCTATATGTATGATTTTTCATGTTTAACTTAAGTCCATGAAACATTGGGTTAATGTTTGATTCAAGTCCCCTTGTTTAATATCTTTTGACTTTAGGTTCCTGAACAATGCTCATGATAGGCCTTTATATTGCCTGGTTTTACCTCTAAGTAGTGCTTAGTAGTGCTTGTGTTTGTATTGACAGTGTTTGAATAATACCAAAGTGATGCGTCATGGTATTTTTCTCTACAGGTTCAAGAGAAGTACCTGTCATGTGTTGCAGCCGCTTGTTTTTTCATTTCATCCAAAGTGCATTTAGAAGAAGAGGTAATGCTTTCAGATCTACATACAGTTTTTTATCCCCTGCCACGAAGTGGAAGGGGGATATAGGAATGGGTGCTGTCCGTCCGTCACATTTCGTTTCCGGAGCAGATCTTGAAAACCGTACCATATTTCTTCACCAAACTTGGCACATAGATAGGTCTAGTGGTGAACTGGTGCCTTTTGATAGTTTAGGATTTTTAAAAACATTATTTTTTTAGTTTCCATGGCAACGACTTTGATTTAGACTGCTAATGGCGGTAGTCCTCGTTTCCGGAACAGATCTTGAAAACCGTACCACATTTCTTCACCAAACTTGGCACATAGATAGATCTAGTGGTGAACTAGTGCCCTTTTATAGTTTGGGATTTAAAAAAATATATATTTTTTTCGAGTTTCCATGGCAACGACTTTGATTTAGACTGAAAATGGCGGTAGTCTTTGTTTCCGGAGCAGATCTTGAAAACGGTACCATATTTCTTCACCAAACTTAGCACATAATGTCATCTTGCAGTAATGAATACATTTCCTTTCTTATTGGTAAGCTCTGCATTGCTTGTGTGTATGTTCCTCCAAAAGTGTCATGGACACGGTTGTTGCACTGACTAACTTCATGCAGAAACACAACTCATTACAAATACAACAGTGTAACTGATCTTAAACCTACTCAACTGTATAAACACTGTCTCCTATCCTGTATATATTCTTGTCAACCATACTCTGTACTTCACTTGCTTGATAACGGTGTTAGAACCTACACCGAAACCATCGCTCCTAATTGTAATAAAGAAGTTGTTCGTCCATATGTCTCATCCTTACTCATTACAAATACAGTTACATATTCTATCATAAACTGCAGATGTCAAAACAACACCAGTAATAACTTTTTTTAGTGCTGCAATTAGGCCATTTACAAAAAGGCCCAGTGAACATAGTTCACAGGAGCTAATGCACTGCACACAACCGGACATGTCATATTGGCGGGGGATATGAGTAATTCATGCTTGTTTTATTTTATTTTTCTCAATTTAATGACCTGATGTCTTCGAACCTTGTAGAATGTAGAACAAGGATTCTTTCCAAAAGACATGAGGAGCAAAATGCGCAATGTTAGTTATTTAAGATTCAGAACCAAAGAGTTATATGTAACAGGCTAATGGACATGGCTCCCAAAAGTGTGAATATTTATCTGTCTGTATTGTGGACTTGACTGAACCTAAGACTGGTAAATAAATATTTTGATGCAGGTATGGCAGGAAGAAGCAGAGACCATTTATCCTGTTGTTTATGAATGGTCTTTGACAAAAGGTTTGTAATCTTATGTCACTTTTGTTTCTCAGTTCACTAGATGATTTTACTTCGGTTATTGTCTTGAAACTAAATAAAATACAACCTCTATTACAGGAAATTCCAAGTGGCAGTGAACTTGCTTATTTACATGGCAACAAGTGGACATCGTCGGATCTCTGCAGGATGGAGGTTGTCATTCTACAAAAACTCAAATGGGATATTCCAAAAACCAACTACCTCACATTCCTTAGACTGTTTGAAAAACTGTTTGCTCAATTGCATCATACATCTCTCTGTCTTGACAATCTCATCCATATGGCTGAAAGCTTCACCAAGCTAGATGACAGTACAGTATTCAAGGTATGGTTATAATGATTAATAGAAAGATCAATTGATGGCAACTGTTCATGGCCCTATAGGTGTGTTACAATACCAAAATATCCATTCCCAGCTTTCAAACCATGCTGGATTAAGTATGACATAAAACACATAATATTGTTATTTTTCAAAGAAACAAAACTTTGACATGTATAATGTGGAATTAAAAAAAAATATTCCAATAAGTGCTCATAATTCTCACTTTGCACAAGTTTGTTTAATTTGTAATAAAGCACATTGTCTTTACATATCGAAGTGATTAGTTTATCCTGCAATTGCACCAGATGAAGATAACAAACATTTCATTCCATCTCATATACAATGCTTTGTATAGGACATGAGGAGAAACAAGCTGTAGATTGATTTATGAATAAATATTTCCAAATGTGGTCACATAAATATTTCTATTCACAGCCACCAACACTTGCCTTTTGTATACTTTGTCACATACTGGAGAAGCAAGGCAATATCTCTAATGAGACTAGACTCATTTTGATACATCTACAGTTAATATGTGATGTAAGTATTGCAGTTATATCAAATGTTATTCCATACACATATGCGGTTGATTGATTTTAAATGTTGTCAATATTTATGTTGAAATTTTGATTAAAAGCTCTATTTATTATTTATATGAAATGGAAATTCATTCAGAATTAATGCTATTGTTATAATGGGTGTTACAATTCGCCAAGCATGTTTTTGTTTGAGTCAATAACATTAGTTCAGATTTTAAATAAGCAAAGTCTTCAGCAATAGATTGGAATGAGTCCTTTCATAATTTTCAGAGTAAAATATGCAAAAGCTTTGCTTTCATCCTGTGGTCAATAAGGTCCCAGATCTGTGTCTAGACATTAGTGTACTTACTGTATTGTAATCAAAACCTCAAGGTTCATGGTACATGTGTTTCGGTAATAGCAAAGGCAGTTTCAAAGTCTTCCCAAAATTCAGCACTTTTTCAGTCATTTCTTAGACATTTTATTACTATATTTGTAGACATGGATACATTTGTTAATAGACTTATGTTCCTTCAGAATATTTTGTCAAGACCTAATAGCAGGTATTATTTCATATCAGTCTTGTTGATATTTAATGACATGACTAAACAAGTTGTTTCAATACATTATACTCAATCTTTGCTGTGATAGATCCAAGACTCAGAGTTATTTGAATGCAAAGATCTCCTTGGCCAAAGTTTGAATGAGAGTGGGATCCAAGCCAGTCAATCAAGCCGTCAATCTGTTTGCTTCCCATTCATGAAAATACGATCACGGCCAAGTTCAGAAGGAGAAAGTGAACTTCCACCCATTACAGAAATCAGTTCTTACTAGACTATGCACAGGTAAAAAGCATGCATTTTTGAGAAATGATATTTCTGAAGGAAATAAATAATATAAACTCATTGACAGGCTAGCTGTCCTATCTTAAAAGTATCCTTCAGACTTTAGTCAGTTACTGAAATGAGTCTGTTCCAAGTCACGAAAGTCTAATCAGCCCAACTGCATACATGAACCATTTCTTAATGCTACCATTGCCTACCGGTACATTGAAACATTGTTTAGAGTCAATGGTTGCAAGACAAGAACAAGACGTTAACTGGTGCAGTTAGCACCAAAGGATCTTTTTCAGATAGCCTTTTCAATGTCTGTCCTATGTGTTCATTGGTGATGAAAGAACACGTGTTGCCATGAACTTAGCATTTGGATTTATAATGATCTGGTTACAGATTATCCAAGTATATAATTTTCTTTACCAATTTTTTAACATGATTTTGACATGTTAGTTTGCATTGCAATGAGTGCTTAAATTATTATCATTAAGAGTAAATGTACAGTAAGATGTTTTCTTTCACTCATTCCACCTTCTGATGTTTCAGATTACATCATCAAATCCAGAGCAAAGAAAAAAGTTAACTTGGAACACTTATCTGTTCATCATTGTCAATGTTGTGTTTGGATACGAATTAGATCAAATATTACCCAGTGATTAATGTGGTAAAATGTACAGTAGTCCATGAGACCCTACAAAGTTGCATTTCTATTTCCCCACCTGCATACTAATGATTCCCTCTGTACACAAGTACTTTACTCCTGGAAGCTACAGTTTGATAAGATATTTATGATATTAAGTTTACTTGACATATTCAGCGATAGACACTAAGAGTAATCCACAATTTATTTCAAACTAGTAGTAGTCTTTCACCCTCCCTTTTTTCTTTGGTCTTGCTGAATGTGAGCAGTTTGGTTCAGGTACTCTTAAAAAATGAATCAAATCTTTATGACTACTTCATGGTGAATCTCATTATCATTTACATCATCATTCATTGTATATTGAATCATTTCATTGACTTGTCTGTGATAAAATTGGAATACCAACCATCAAGGTGTTCAAACAAATTGAGCTAAAACACCTTATAAAAACATATTCAACACACAAATATGAGAAGTTCATATAGTGTAACACATTTTAGATATGAGCTCACTTTTGTGCTTTGTTTTACCCTGGTCCTTTAAGTGTAGACATGTAAAATGCATTTTGTTTAATGTTATTTTAGGTGAGACACACATTCCAGTGAATAAAAGAAAAAATGTTATAACTGGTCCATATTCAGTCGGTCTTCAGTCACTAAAATGTTAGAGGTCCTTGTCATTATCCAAATTTTAACAAAATGCTCAGGGCTTTCCATTATTTCTATTACATTACTTATTTTATTAAAAAGAATTAATGTATCACTGATGAGGCAGCTTTCCCTCATTTGTTTTTCTTTTTATTCCCAAAGAACTGCCTGTTTACCACTTTCTCAAGAAATGTGATTTAATATCAAATATATATATTTACTCATTTAGGTCTAGCACCTAAATGTTTCATCGTTTCACTACAATGATTATGATTGTTCTACTGTGGCTATTTTAATTGAAGAAAATCTCCCTTTGGATTAATATATTTACTTCAGTTTATATAATATATGGGGGGAAAAACTATTTATTGTGATTGGTAATAAAATACCTAGTCAGGAATTGTTTAATATATTTTTCTTCACACAAAAAAAAGTTTAAATGGTAGCTATGTTGTGTAGTTTTTAGTCTTATTATTTAACAAAAACATACTGTTTTAACACTGTACAGTACATTTCATTGAGAAGTGAAATATATTTAATATAACTCAGTATTCATGAAAGCTTATAGCATTGTCCAAAACTTAACATACTTAAGGTGCAATAATCATGTCTAAATGTAAACATGATGTATGAAAGTTTAGCATTTATTTATTACCAGTGATTATTTATCATGTGTACATGTTTTATGATGTGAGAACAATTCTTGTCTACACATTGATTAATTTATGGACCCCATGAGGGGACCATAATTAATGCATATGCAGTGTTGGAATCAAAGCATGAAAATCAAGGGGTCCTTGCAATAATCCAGTATTAAAAAATATATTCTGGGGTCCCTAGATTCAATTCTATTAGAGAAAACCGCAAGGACCTCCTCACGATTCGTAAACTAACATGAATGCATTGTTATTTTTTCTATTCCCGATGTTATGAGTGTAGAAAGAATCATTGTGTAAATACAGGTGATCTTATGGAAGTTGAATGCAGAGTCCTTCATATATAATGATACATGTTCATTTAGTCCTTTTTTTACCACAATAAAATTGTATACAAATGTGATGCATTGTCTTTGTCTTCTTTGGGGTAAAACATCACACTGGTGAACAGGTGGGAGTCCATGCACTACTTGCTGTTGCAATAGGTAGGAACTGGAAACTAAATGAATCATTCAGTCAGTGTGTATATTAATTATTTTCTCACGTCTTCATTGTCTTTGATACTTACAAACATGCAAAATATTAGCATTGTTTTTCGTAATTGTTACAAAGCTGTAGAGATATATGAGGGATAGCTCACCTGAATATTTGCATTTTTGCGTGTGTGTGTGTGTGTGTGTGTGGATTAAGTAAGAGTTCTCTCCCATGTTAAAACGTGAAGAGAAGTGTGCATAAAAGATAGACGCGCGAACAGTCTCAAGCACGTAGCACCATAACAAGACGTTATGAGACACGGGACAACGAGTTACCTTCCCAGATCCGGTCGACCAGTATCACTACTAGAACACAGGACAAGTTCATACGGCTACGTTACGTAGGCGAAAGAACCACCGCGGCTACCTCTACAACTACGGTAATACTTGGATGACGTACGACGTCAGCCCAGACAGTGAGGAAACGTTAATGCCCTGAAAGCTTTTCGCGTATTCGCGCAAGATGACCAGTTCAAGGTGTCATTTTGACGGATCTGCATCGTCGGCCGCGACGTCTAAGGTGTCAAGCTCACAGAGTATGACCACAATCGCGATGGAGACAAGTTTGGTTTAGTTGACGAGTCACGGATGGTAGACGTGTTTACAGGCGTCTCGGGGAACGTTTTGCACGAAACAGCTTACAGGAAAACTTGGTGCAAGTTGTGGGGATTTTGACGGCACATCGTTACAAGGATGAGATTCTTCGGCCACACGTCCTTTCCATTATGCATCAAGCGAACGTCATTTTCCAACAAGACACCTCCCACGGCAACATTTGACAACAGCCTTTCACAATCACAATATCCAGGGCCTGCCATGGCCCACCAGGTCTCCAGATTTAAATCCAATCGAACATTTATGGGATGCACTGGATGAACGGCTGCGGGTACGTCAGCAATAACCACAGAACCACCAACAGTTGGCTCAAACACTGCAGGCAGAGCGGTGGACATTCCCCATGCCTCAATTCGGAATCTGATTACGTCCCAGGGACGACGATGCCAGTCAGTTTTTGACTATTGGTGGCTATACACGATATTGAGAACATATGACCTTCACCTGGAAAGTCTACTGTTCCATGTGTGACATATGGAACCCGGGACAATGACAATGAAGTGTGCCAATTTTGAACAATCGATTACCACCTGTTGATTTATATGATTCATAAAATTTACATCTAAAAATCACTTTTGCGTTTTTTGTTTTGCAGAATATATATACAGGTGCACGAAGGGCGTTAGAGAGCCAACAATAGTAGTTCCCATAATTTAAAGCACTTTCTAATACACTATTTCAAGACCAGAGAACTCTAAGCTAAACATTTTAAACAGCCAACGCCGTGATTCTATTACGGTTAACCGGTCAGGACACCGTGGAATCGGGAATTACTTTGGGGAATGGATAAAATAGCCTCGATCTTTTGATTGACATTTTCCCGAGGCAAGGGAGTTAACAGACTGTAAAAGTCCAGTTTCCCTCCTTGCCGAACTAGCTGGAATTGCTGGGCTCGATCGTAGCGATTTTGATGGGGTTATGCACAGATTCCAACCTAGTTGCCTCAAGGGTGGAAACCGGATCAGTCAACCCCTTCCTTCGGTAAGATGAGTGATGGCTTGTGGCGGCGAATCGGGACTTTCGGCAAGTTTCTTTTAGTCAAGTCATGGAGAGGCAGTAGCTGATATGGTCACATGCACGAGCACAAAAAATATTAACCCTTAGTTGCATGTAATACCAGTATTGTGTGTACTCAAGGCTGAAGTTGCGAAGTTACCTTAAATTAACAAAAACACCCAGATAAGGTTCATTCATGTTTATTACATGCTTAAATACACCAATGCATACACATTCAGAAGAAAAAGAGAATATGAAATACACGATAATTTAATATAAAGTAACAATGCCACAACAGTATTGTCAAACGTAAACAAGGTTACATTAACGATAGAAGTGCGTTTCAGGGAAATTTGTCGCTAGGTTGTCAGCACTATGTGGCACTTACTGGTCCATGTTTTTGCCGGTCTTAGATAACAGTAGAAAATACGCATTATACAATCATGAACGCATTATACAATCATGCATTATACAATCAGGATCGCATTATACAATCACGAACGCATTATACAATCATGAACGCATTATACAATCAGGATCGTATTATACAATCATGAACGCATAATACAATCAGGATCGCATTATACAATCATGAACGCATTATACGATCAGGATCGCATTATACGATCATGAACGCATTATACGATCAGGATCGCATTATGCAATCATGAACGCATTATGCAATCATGAACGCATTATACAATCATGAACGCATTATACAATCAGGATCGCATTATACAATCATGAACGCATTATACATTCAGGATCGTATTATACAATCATGAACGCATTATACAATCATGAACGCATTATACATTCAGGATCGTATTATACAATCGTGAACGCATTATACAATCAGGATCGCAATAACACTTATCAGAACTAAACATGGAGAACACCAACTGCCTTTGAATTTTGAATAAAAACAAAATATTAGAACGTTGACCCGTTTACAAAATATTACAAAAATCACGTGTAATGGCCTTGGTATACTTTCGGGTCTCTCCGCTCGATGTCTACCCATTGTTTAGAACAGCCAGAGTTGGTTGGCCTGCTTAGTACCTCCTTTGGTTTAAAAATATAAACTTAATGCTTATGTTTGTTATTTTCAGACGAATTTGTCGTTGTAAAGTGGTATATTCAGTTTGGAAGTTCCGATGTTAAGGCTCGCATTTACATGTTATCACATAAGTGTGTACACGTGCGCAACCTCTCACCGACTAACTAGATCGTAAACATATATATATCCGCTTTAAACATAAGTATCTTGTAACCTTGCAAGATGTTTACTGTGTTGCTTTTTTTTTAATTTGAGCTATACAATGGTGTGTATGTCAGTAAGACAATCGTACAATGTGCATGTGTGTGTGTGTATAGCTGGACCTCCTTGCCCAAAGCACTACGCTATTGAGACATTTCTACTTCTTGAAACATGTGTTGGCAACAGTCATAGCGCTGTGGGCCCGGACCTAGGAGATGTTCTATACAGCCTCAGCTTGTTTGATTTATGAATGTAGCTTAACGTATTGTCGCTAGTATTACTAGCATATGATAATGAAACGACTAAAAACATCCGACACAAATATACGTCATCGCAACACAGTGTCATTGGTTAAATATTTTATAGGGCCGTTTAACCAATTGTTGGTACAATATCTGTCGTTTTTACCGTTTGTTTTTAAGGAAAGGAGGCGTGTGACAAAATTGATCCGCGACTATTTCCCCCCGAAACTGAAGTTTGGTGTGCATACACATCCACCGTTCCCATTGGGGTTTCGCAGGAATCCTGGCGGACAGAACTGACTGGCGCAAGGATCCACCGTCGTCGGAGCCATCGTAGTTGTTGTTGGTGCTGCTGTTGTTGATGTTGCGCTCGTCACTGTGGTTTGTAGAGTTGTGTTAACTTGGCTTACATTTTCCGAACTTTCATCATCCGTTTCAAGATTAGAATATTGTTGGTCTCTGTTGATGATGCAGCTGCAATTGATAAAGACAATTTCATTACACCGCTCCATAACAACGCGGCATCAACACCTACCGTTTGCCATCCCACGACGCCCCACACCTGCCGCTAGCCATCCAAGGACGCCCCACACCTGCCACTAACCATCACACGACGCCCCACACCTGCCGCAAGCCATCCAAGGACGTCCCACACCTGCAACTAACTATCACACGACGCCCCACACCTGCCGCTAGCCATCACAAGACGCCCCACACCTGCCGCTAGCCATCCAAGGACGCCCTACACCTGCCGCTAACCATCTCACGACGCCCCACACCTGCCACTAACCATCACACGACGCCCCACACCTGCCGCTAGCCATCACAAGACGCCCCACACCTGCCACTAGCCATCGGAGGACGCCCTACACCTGCCGCTAGCCATCTCACGACGCCCCACACCTGCCGCTAGCCATCACAAGACGCCCTACACCTGCCGCTAACCATCTCACGACGCCCAACACCTGCCGCTAGCCATCACACGACGCCCCAACCCTGCCGCTAGCCATCACACGACGCCCCGCACCTGCCGCTAGCCATCACACGACGCCCCAACCCTGCCGCTAGCCATCACACGACGCCCCACACCTGCCGCTAGCCATCCAAGGACGCCCCACACCTGCCGCTAACCATCACACGACGCCCCACACCTGCCGCTAGCCATCACAAGACGCCCCACACCTGCAACTAACCATCACACGACGCCCCACACCTGCCGCTAGCCATCACAAGACGCCCCACAACTGCCGCTAGCCATCCAAGGACGCCCTACACCTGCCGCTAACCATCTCACGACGCCCCATACCTGCCACTAACCATCACACGACGCCCCACACCTGCCGCTAGCCATCACAAGACGCCCCACACCTGCCACTAGCCATCGGAGGACGCCCTACACCTGCCGCTTGCCATCTCAAGACGCCCCACACCTGCCGCTAGCCATCACAAGACGCCCGACACCTGCCGCTAACCATCTCACGACGCCCCACACCTGCCGCTAGCCATCACACGACGCCCCAACCCTGCCGCTAGCCATCACACGACGCCCCGCACCTGCTGCTAGCCATCACACGACGCCCCAACCCTGCCGCTAGCCATCACACGACGCCCCACACCTGCCGCTAGCCATCCAAGGACGCCCCACACCTGCCGCTAACCATCACACGACGCCCCACACCTGCCGCTAGCCATCACAAGACGCCCCACACCTGCCGTCAGCCATCCAAGGACGCCCCACACCTGCCGCTAGCCATCACACAATGCCCCAACCCTGCCGCTAGCCATCACACGACGCCCCGCACCTGCCGCTAGCCATTCCTCGACGCCCCACACCTGCCGCTAGCCATCCAAGGACGCCCCACACCTGCCGCTAGCCATCACACGACGCCCCAACCCTGCCGCTAGCCATCCCACGACGCCTCACACCTGCCACTAGACATCACAAGACGCCCCACACCTGCCGCTAGCCATTCCTCGACGCCTCACACCTGCCCCTAGCCATTCCTCGATGCTCCACACCTGTCGCTAGCCATTCCTCGACGCCCAACACCTGCCCCTAGCCATTCCTCGACGCCCCGCACCTGCCGCTAGCCATTCCTCGACGCCCAACACCTGCCGCTAGCCATTCCTCGATGCCTCACACCTGCCGCTAGCCATTCCTCGACGCCCCACACCTGCCGCTAGCCATTCCTCGACGCCCCACACCTGCCCCTAGCCATTCCTCAATGCTCCACAACTGCCGCTAGCTATTCCTCGACGCCCAACACCTGCCCCTAGCCATTCCTCGACGCCTCACACCTGCCCCTAGCCAATCCTCGACGCCCCACACTTGCCGCTGGCCATTCCTCGACGCTTCACACCTGCCCCTAGTCATTCCTCGACGCCCAACACACCTGCCTCTAGCCATTCCTCGATGCCTCACATCTGCTGCTAGCCATTCCTCGACGCCCCACACCTGCCCCTAGCCATTCCTCGACGCCCAACACCTGCCGCTAGCCATTCCTCGACGCCTTACACCTGTCGCTAGCCATTCCTCGATGCCTCACATCTGCCGCTAGCCATTCCTCAACGCCCCGAACCTGCCGCTAGCCATTAATCGGCATCCATTACCTCGCCCTCTGACGCACGTATACGTGGGCTATGGGCTAATCTTCTGTTGCATGAGTTTAGCCTCACCTGCATGTACGTGGGCTGTAGGTTAAGCCGTCCTCACACTCCTGTTCCGGTTCAATGCACACACACGTGCACGTCTCTATGTCCCATCGTTGGTAGGGGTAGCAGGTAAGGTGTCGTCTGCACGTGCAGGAGCATTCGAAAGAATCGAATCGCTGCCAACAATGAACAGACATTTGTAAGTTCATAACATTAAATTCACATTCTGCCTTTCCTGTTCCTTTCCCATTTACAGCAGTTGAAACACATTGGAACCAAACAAGCATAACAATGTCACAAAGATTCCCTTCCCTGTCTGGACAAGGGGTCGATAGTCTCGAGAGCCATTTGGGCCACACCATCTTAGTTACCAAAACTGTATATGAAATCTGTAACTTTGTTTATACAATAGAAATGGGAAACGTCGGAACTATATGTTAGGAACACAAGAAAGGAGATATCTCCCGAATATAATCACACTGCATGCTATTAAAACATGCGAGTACCTGTCTCTTGTTACAGTCGTTGGCGGTGAGCCGGCAGGTGACGACACATTCCAGGTGTTCCTCGACTGTGACCTCGTGTGTGCCGTCCCACTCCATGAGAAGATCGGGCAGGTTGGACTCGAACAACAGTGTCTTCAACACCTGGAACCACCAAGACAATGTAGGAAGTGTTGCGCAGTGCATCTAAATAGTTGCAGAGTTCGTCTTATCTTAAATGAATTAATAAACTAAACGTGAATAACGTACCTGTTAACTGACCAATAAACTAAACGTTACAAGGTGTAAACGTGATAACATGTCATAATGTGAACCCTAGGGTGGATGTATATTGAATAAACCATGACTCAAGTATGTAAATAAATGTAAATAAACGATAAGCAAACTTGATTGATTGCCATCGTCTTATATCTGGCCCAAACCATAGCATTTCACGTGTAGTCATAACCATACGTTAGTGCGTTCTCGCGATCTTATCATTATGCATAGGGTGCGTTTTGGAGAACAGTTCTATAATCAAAATGAACATGTTGTCAGAAGAGGCTGTAACATGACATTAACACCTGTAACCACCAAGACAACGTAGACTGTAACATGCCATTAACACCTGGAACCATCAAGACAATGTAGACTGTAACATGACATAAACACCTGGAACAACCAAGACAATGTAGACTGTAACATGACATAAACACCTTGAAGCATCAAGACAATGTAGACTGTAACATGCCATTAACACCTGGAACCATCAAGACAATGTAGACTGTAACATGACATAAATACCCGTAACCAAGACAATGTAGACTGTAACATGTCATTACCATCTGGAACCATCATCACAATGTAGACTGTAACATGACATAAACACCTGGAACCATCAAGACAATGTAGACCGTAACATGACATATACACCTGGAACAACCAAGACAATGTAGACTGTAACATGAAATATACACCTGGAACAACCAAGACAATGTAGACTGTAACATGACATAAACACCTGGAACCATCATGACAATGTAGACTGTAACATGACATAGACAACTTGAAGCATCAAGACAATGTAGACTGTAACATGACATATACACCTGGACCAACCAAGACAATGTAGACTGTAACATGACATAAATACCCGTAACCATCATGATAATGTAGACTGTAACATGACATAAACACCTGGAACCATCAAGACAATGTAGACTAACATGACATCAACACCTTGAACCATCAAGACAATGTAGACTGTAATATGACATAAACACCTGGAACAACCAAGACAATGTAGACTGTAACATGACATAAATACCTGGAACCATCATGACAATGAAGACTGTAACATGACATAAACACCTGGAACAAACATGACAATGTAGACTGTAACATGACATTAACACCTGGAACAACCAAGACAATGTAGACTGTAACATGACATAAGCACCTGGAACCATCATGACAATGTAGACTGAAATATGACATAAACACCTGTAACCATCAAGACAATGTAGACTGTAACATGACATAAACACCTGGAACAACCAAGACAATGTAGACTGTAATATGACATAAACACCTGGAACCATCAAGACAATGTAGACTGTAATATGACATAAACACCTGGAACAACCAAGACAATGTAGACTGTAATATGACATTAACACCTGGAACAACCAAGACAATGTAGACTGTAATATGACATAAACACCTGGAACCATCAAGACAATGTAGACTGTAACATGACATTAACACCTGGAACAACCAAGACAATGTAGACTGTAATATGACATTAACACCTGGAACAACCAAGACAATGTAGACTGTAATATGACATAAACACCTGGAACCATCAAGACAATGTAGACTGTAATATGACATAAACACCTGGAACAACCAAGACAATGTAGACTGTAATATGACATAAACACCTGGAACCATCAAGACAATGTAGACTGTAACATGACATAAATACCCGTAACCATCATGACAATGTAGACTGTAATATGACATAAACACCTGGAACAACCAAGACAATGTAGACTGTAACATGACATAAACACCTGGAACCATCAAGACAATGTAGACTGTAATATGACATAAACACCTGGAACAACCAAGACAATGAAGACTAACATGACATAAACACCTGGAACCATCAAGACAATGTAGACTGTAACATGACATAAACACCTGGAACCATCAAGACAATGTAGACTGTAACATGACATAAACACCTGGAACCATCAAGACAATGTAGACTAACATGACATAAACACCTGGAACCATCAAGACAATGTAGACTGTAATATGACATAAACACCTGGAACAACCAAGACAATGTAGACTGTAACATGACATAAATACCCGTAACCATCATGACAATGTAGACTGTAACATGACATTAACACCTGGAACAACCAAGACAATGTAGACTGTAACATGACATAAACACCTGGAACCATCATGACAATGTAGACTGTAATATGACATAAACACCTGTAACCATCATGACAATGTAGACTGTAACATGACATAAACACCTGGAACAACCAAGACAATGTAGACTGTAACATGACATAAACACCTGGAACCATCAAGACAATGTAGACTGTAATATGACATAAACACCTGTAACCATCATGACAATGTAGACTGTAATATGACATAAACACCTGGAACAACCAAGACAATGTAGACTGTAATATGACATAAACACCTGGAACCATCAAGACAATGTAGACTGTAATATGACATAAACACCTGTAACCATCAAGACAATGTAGACTGTAATATGACATAAACACCTGGAACAACCAAGACAATGTAGACTGTAATATGACATAAACACCTGGAACCATCATGACAATGTAGACTGTAATATGACATAAACACCTGGAACAACCAAGACAATGTAGACTGTAATATGACATAAACACCTGGAACCATCAAGACAATGTAGACTGTAACATGACATTAACACCTGGAACAACCAAGACAATGTAGACTGTAATATGACATAAACACCTGGAACCATCAAGACAATGTAGACTGTAATATGACATAAACACCTGGAACCATCAAGACAATGTAGACTGTAACATGACATAAACACCTGGAACCATCAAGACAATGTAGACTGTAATATGACATAAACACCTGGAACAACCAAGACAATGTAGACTGTAATATGACATAAACACCTGGAACCATCAAGACAATGTAGACTGTAATATGACATAAACACCTGGAACAACCAAGACAATGTAGACTGTAACATGACATAAATACCCGTAACCATCATGACAATGTAGACTGTAACATGACATAAACACCTGGAACCATCAAGACAATGTAGACTGTAACATGACATCAACACCTTGAACCATCAAGACAATGTAGACTGTAATATGACATAAACACCTGGAACAACCAAGACAATGTAGACTGTAACATGATATAAATACCTGGAACCATCATGACAATGTAGACTGTAACATGACATTAACACCTGGAACCACCAAGACAATGAAGACTAACATGACATAAATACCTTGAACCATCATGACAATGTAGACTGTAAAATGACATAATCACCTGGAACCATCATGACAATGTAGACTGTAATATGACATAAACACCTGGAACCACCAAGACAATGAAGACTAACATGACATAAATACCTTTAACCATCAAGACAATGTAGACTGTAATATGACATAAACACCTGGAACCATCAAGACAACGTAGACTAACATGACATAAATACATTGAAGCATCAAGACAATGTAGACTGTAACATGACATAAACACCTTGAACCATCAAGACAATGTAGACTAACATGACATAAATACCTTGAACCATCAAGACAATGTAGACTAACATGACATAAATACCTTGAACCATCATGACAATGTAGACTGTAACATGACATAAACACCTGGAACCATCAAGACAACGTAGACTAACATGACATAAATACCTTGAAGCATCAAGACAATGTAGACTAACATGACATAAATACCTTGAACCATCATGACAATGTAGACTGTAACATGACATAAACACCTTGAACCATGAAGACAATGTAGACTGTAATATGACATAAACACCTGGAACCATCAAGACAATGTAGACTGTAACATGACATAAATACCTTGAACCATCAAGACAATGTAGACTAACATGACATAAATACCTTGAACCATCATGACAATGTAGACTGTAACATGACATAAACACCTTGAACCATGAAGACAATGTAGACTGTAATATGACATAAACACCTGGAACCATCAAGACAATGTAGACTGTAACATGACATAAATACCTTGAACCATCAAGACAACGTAGACTAACATGACATAAATACCTTGAACCATCAAGACAATGTAGACTAACATGACATAAATACCTTGAACCATCAAGACAATGTAGACTGTAACATGACATAAACACCTGGAACCATCAAGACAATGTAGACTAACATGACATAAATACCTTGAACCATCAAGACAATGTAGACTGTAACATGACATATACACCTGGAAAACCAAGACAATGTAGACTGTAACATGATATAAATACCTTGAACCATCAAGACAATGTAGACTAACATGACATAAATACCTTGAACCATCAAGACAATGTAGACTGTAACATGACATATACACCTGGAAAACCAAGACAATGTAGACTGTAACATGATATAAACACCTGGAACCATCAAGACAATGTAGACTGTAACATGACATAAATACCGGTAACCAAGACAATGTAGACTGTAACATGACATAAACACCTGGAACCATCAAGACAATGTAGACTGTAACATGACATAAACACCTGGAACCATCAAGACAATGTAGACTGTAATATGACATATACACCTGGAACAACCAAGACAATGTAGACTGTAACATGACATAAACACCTGGAACCATCAAGACAATGTAGACTGTAATATGACATAAACACCTTGAACCATCATGATATTGTAGACTGTAACATGACATATACACCTGGAAAACCAAGACAATGTAGACTGTAACATGATATAAACACCTGGAACCATCAAGACAATGTAGACTGTAACATGACATAAATACCGGTAACCAAGACAATGTAGACTGTAACATGACATAAACACCTGGAACCATCAAGACAATGTAGACTGTAACATGACATAAATACCGGTAACCAAGACAATGTAGACTGTAACATGACTTAAATACCCGTAACCAAGACAATGTAGACTGTAACATGACATAAACACCTGGAACCATCAAGACAATGTAGAGTGTAACATGACATAAATACCGGTAACCAAGACAATGTAGACTGTAACATGACTTAAATACCCGTAACCAAGACAATGTAGACTGTAACATGTCATGAACACCTTGAAACATAAAGACAATGTAGACTGTAACATGACTTAAATACCCGTAACCAAGACAATGTAGACTGTAACATGTCATGAACACCTTGAAACATAAAGACAATGTAGACTGTAACATGACTTAAATACCCGTAACCAAGACAATGTAGACTGTAACATGTCATGAACACCTTGAAACATAAAGACAATGTAGACTGTAACATGACTTAAATACCCGTAACCAAGACAATGTAGACTGTAACATGTCATGAACACCTTGAAACACAAAGACAATGTAGACTGTAACAAGTCATGAACACCTGGAACCATCAAGACAATGTAGACTGTAACGTGATATTATGTGATAGTAGCGATTGACGTTGGCATCAAATGATTGAAGCGTTAGTAAAATGTCGATTACTGTCGTGGCAAGATTCTAGCGGTACTTCGTGTAAATTTGAACATGACAGGCTTGATCGTTCGAGAAGTTTCGGGCTGGGATAGGGCTTTCACAAGGGTGATTTCAGGCTTTACATCTACCTGCCATGTGCGGAGGGGTTACCTTTATGAACTTCAAAAACCGAGACAGGGCAGTTTCATGACATTCGACGGTGAAAATTTGTGAATTGTGAGCTCTTATATTAAATCTAGGGACTGTTACTTCTTCCTGCTGCCACTTATTTTACCCCTTGTATTGCCTGTTCTTACTGTAAACCCGTGTGTTTCAATGTCATAAATTATTTATTGATCTTGTGTTGTCATTTCATGATTTCATAATTTAGTCAATTAGGAGTCATCTCGGGACAGATATTGGAGGCTATTGGACAGCATTATACTGAGCTTTTAATTTCAAATTGGGGTTTTGGTGGTCTAAACGGTTCAACATTATAACTGCAGCTGCATGGCCCTGATGTTTTGCGTAATCCTGTCGCCGACTCTCTCAGCTTGTGTACTTGAGAACCATTAAAGTTTGAACTGATATAGATGTATGTATGAGATATTCTTCTCAGCCGTCTCTCTCTCTCTCTCTCTCACACACACACACACACACAAACACACACAAACACACAGAGACACACACACACACACACACACACACACACACACACACACACACACACACACACTGACCGTGATTCGTTTCGGCCTAGAAGAACGGGGCGCACACTGCAACATGCTGTTGGCACAGCAACCTCCACAGCGCATAACACGTGTACATGTCGGCCACGTCATGACGTTGACGTCATGGGTCATGTCCCTGGGGATCTCCACGGTCATGAGACGTGGGGAACATTCGTCAGGGAAGGCGAACTCTGCTGCTCCTGGAACAATACATGGACAGTAGATTACACTCCCACGATAAGGAGATGATATATACGCATAATGAAGCGTTGTATGAACGGGCTTTTATCATTGGGGATTGTCTGTGACTACCAGACTTCCGTACAAGCACACGTTTTGAAAACATAGAGCGGTTCGTTTGTTCCGACCTGGACGCGCTGACACGTGTTAAGGAAATATCGACCGTTTTCTGGACTGACGTACGCAACAATACGTAAGTGATGATAGATGTTAAGGGAATACGTATTGATTCCTGACTTGGCGTACGTACCAGCAGTTACGTACACCCGACCATCCGAACTTCCTAAGTTTGGCAAAACTGAAAAAAGAACATCTGTATATTAGAAACAGTATACTTAAAACAGTAAATGGGATGGCAAACGGAGAATTTATTCGATATTAATACGTTGAACTTCATTGAACTTGCTCCCATTATCACTGTTATTGAACATCTGTACATACCTTCCTCTATTTCGACTCTACGCCCATTCATTTTCATGTCGACTGCCCGAAACAGCTCTGTGATGTTGGTGATGCGGGAAAGTCGCATGGCCTGCTGGTAGTTCATCTGCAGGGTGCCCTTAACATGACAAACACAGCATCACTTGCTACTGTCATCGCAAGGATCATTGACATTAAAACACTTTCGGCAGTTTGTTTGGTTTGTTTAGTAGCTGGCACAGACAAACACATGCTACACAGTCCCCGCGTTGTGGAGAAGCTGCGTGCGTCCCGAGGGACATCGTTCTCCACCAGGGCACTCCAGGGACACATGTAAGAGTAGATTGTCTGCTTCAAGTCGTGGCTGGTGGGAAGTAATCCAATAACAATATATGGACCAATGCCTGAACCAAACCTCTCAGATGAGATGTGGGAAATATATTACAATGTGTCGGTGCGTGGGCTGTGGTGTGTCCCTTGAGGGCTGCTCTGCACTGGGATCTGATATATAGATAGTTAAAGACACATCTAATTGTCAATAATTGAGCACCTGTTAAGGCTGGAAGATAGAATTCGGGTCATAAACATTTCAAATAAAACTGCAGATCTCAAACCAAGTATTTGTTATCATATGTCTATTTCTACGTGTAGATTTTGTTTTTTAACTACACCCGAACTGTGAGCTGGGATCTCAATCTGTATGTACTGAACATGTTGTGACGTGTCATTCGTAAATGTGCTGAATCTTCGAACTTTGTTTGACCACAGCTATTTCGCCCAGACCTACGCACGGGGACACAATCTAGATGGACGGCAGCTGCTCGGCCGGGTTCTAGGGAACTTTCTTTCTCCGTGTATTGATTGTTCACTTGAACATCCCCTGAACACCACGCGTGCAAGCAATGTTTCTTCATTACCACCCCGAGACATCGGCCTGACATACTTAAATACAGAGCATCCCCAAAGTAACACCAGTGACAATGTGTCTGTTTATATAGTCGTCAGTCTGTCCGTCCGTCCGTCCGTCAGAAATCTTTAATTTAAGGAGCATTTCTCGAACACTGGTGATATTGAGCACTGGTGCCTGTTGCTATTTAGAGATTTCCCAAAGCATTTTTACAGTTTTTTATGGAAACGTGGTGAATTTTCCAGAGCATGTATATCTATAGCTATATAACCTAGCAAATCACTGAAAATTACCATGTAAATTTCCATTTTGATAGTTTATATTTGGAAACTTTAACAGAAAATATTATTGAGGAGAGTGTTGTTGACGGAATGTATTTGTATTTAGAAAGTATATATTTCTACAATCATGTATATTGGATGGGGATTTATAAACAAAGTTTCCCCTCTAAAAAATGCATCCTACATTTACAGGATAGTATAATAAACATACTTAGCCAAACAGAAGTGGTATTCAAACAAATGTCATATAGATAAGTACATAGACATTATAAAGTTTTACAGATAAAGAATTCTACAGCAATCTATAGGTGCCTTACTCGTGTATCACTTGTATATCACCAGTATGTTACTTGTGTATCAGACCCGTGAAGATCCAGGGTAGAATAGATCGTCAGCAACCCATGCTTGTCGTAAAAGGCGCCACTCTGCACAGCGAACTGCGAATTGATGAATGGGCCCCCGTGCCCCCAACAATGGACAATAACAGGTTCTGGACCATGCCTTTCGGTACATTTGTGCACCAGACGCACACAGAATCCACTCTACTTTCAACGTATATCTAACATATAGGTCTTCAGCAACCCATACTTGTCGTAAAAAGCGACTATGCTTGTCGTAAGAGATGACTAACGGGATCGGGTGGTCAGGCTCGCTGACTTGGATGATACATGTCATTATATCACAATTGCGTGGATCGATGCTCATGATGTCAATAACTGGATTGTCTGGTCCAGACTGAATTATTTACAGACCGCCATCATATAGCTGGAATATTGCTGAGTGCGGCGTTAAACAAGAAACAAACAAACAATCTTAAGATAAAACATTTCTGGTTTCTGGTCGAAGATAAATATCTCCGGTTAAATTTGTAGTTCCATATAATACACTTTTAAGATCATATCTCTTCTTATAGAAGTAACAATTACATCTAATAATCGTAAACCGAGGGCAAGCATCTTCATAATGCTGTCCCCATTAACAATATCCGGAGACATCTAAACACTTATCATGTCTATGGTCTTTCAAATAACTGCAATAACTGTGACATTGGCGACAATATGTGCACGGCGACGATATATGTCGTAAGAGGCTGGCGTCAGGACTTTCTGCACATTGACATTCTCGTGAGATGTGCCAGCGAGGACAAAAGAAAACCTTTGATCTAACGGAGCTTATGTAGGTCAACTACCGTCTTGTCCTATACTGTTGCAACTTCCGATCGGCAAGCCATGTTTCCGGTGCACATATGGTTTCTAGTCTTGTACTAGTTGTTAGATAAAGGAGGGGTTGTCGCCGGGCATCGTCGCCAACGTTCACAGCATATATAGTCGTCGGCGCTTTATATCGCCGGGCATATATTGACGACATTCGTCAGAGCAAAAACCCGATAAAGTAGTGACTGGCACAAGTTCTCTATCCATCTTAGAACATGCAGGCAAATACTCGATTTCCGCGAACTTACGCTGCAGATCGCAAAAACTCATTCACAATCGAAGCAGAGCACACGAGCATGCCGTATCCTTGTGTATGATGTATTGCCCGCGTGTTAACAATGTCATGACAAGTTACAACCATGGATCATAGTGATGATGACATTTGGTTATCTCAGGCAAGTGAAAACACAACTTTATCTGATACTCAACTGAGCCAAACTTTGGATGATTTAAAACTTTACAAAATTTAAAAGCATCGATCTTAACAGAGAATGATCGTTTTGCATCTTGTACTTCAGCCATGGTAGATGACATGATTGCAGATCGAATCCCAGTTAAAACCAGGAGTGATAAAAAGTGGGGTTTTAACATTTGGACAGAAGGGCAACACATAAAAAAGAAACTCGTATGTTTATGAACCATACATGTCTGTACCACTTGATGTTTTCGCAATTTTGGCGGAAGAATTAGACCATAGGCTTTCAGTCTTTCTATGTTGAAACGCTACCCCCAGATCTCTTTATCAGATAGCGTGCGCTATATTGAGGCATTTAAGGGACAATTATTCGAGATTGGATTTTGGATTTTCAGGACGACGCATCAAAACTGTCTCTCTGCAATGACGGAGCGGTCGGGTAGCCTAGTGATTAAAGCGTTCGCTCGTCACCGGGTCACCCGGGTTCGATTCCCGACAAGGGTACAATGTGTAAAGTCCATTTCTGGTGTCCCCCGCCGTCATATTGCTGGAATATTGCTAAAAGCGGCGTAAAACCATACTCACTCACTCACTCTGCCGTGACAAATCGCGTCAAGGAAAAAGGAGGGTTTTCAAATTTAAGCAAGGCTACAAAGAGATCCAGATTGCTATGGAATATTAAATCAATTACAAAATGTCGTTATTGGTGTTAATGAATAATAGAACCTATTGTTTGTTGTTTAAGTCCTGGCATGCTGAAATGTACAAGTTTCATGAAGCACGAGAGTTTCATGCCGATATAAACTGTATACTTTACAGTACTTTATCGGCATACAAATGTACCCCCACCTTATCAAAATAGTGACCACCCATGGGACGAAAGCATTTACCTGTGCTCTGAAGGATTATTATTGATTATAAACTTAAAGTGTGTAGGTCTACCTCACAACTTCATAAGCTTGTATGTCAGGTAGTGTATACATACCTAAGCCTTTGGATTCTGAGATGTAAATTCTAATATAGATTGTTTTTATTTGGAAAAATAAACAGAAAATATAAGAGAGTTGTCGTAGAGGGAATGTATTTGTATTTGCAAATGATATAAGTTAAACAGTATATATTTCTACAATCATAAGTAAAGTCGGTGGGGATTTATAAACAAGGTTTCCCCATCATACATTGTACAGGATAGTATAATAAACATACTTAGCAAAATAGAAGTGGTATTCAAACAAGTGTCATATAGATAGCATTAATGGCTAAAGAGTGACTAAGGGAGACCATTTTGAGAATAAAACTGTGAGAGACTTTGAGGAAACTCGGCTTTGACTAACTGACAGTGTTAGCTAATTCCATTCAAATCATTCAGTCATGTGCAGCATGGCCACAAGTTTACAAGTATTGCCGTCAGATCACAAGTACGCATTGACTCCTCAGTAATCTAGACTTGCCAAACATTATAGACTTGCATGGGTTGTATTGGATATATTTGTATCAGGGTCTGTATGACAGACTAGGGACCGCAAGTACGCCTTGGTAATGAGAGACCATGCATCCTAACCTGGCTACATCAGTGTATCGTGGCATCCAACAGAGTACAAGTAATCAGCCAGGGTGGCGAAGACAGGGGTCCTTGTTCTGTTAAGATCCATATTGGGAAATACTGACCTAATTGACTATTGTGGAAATCATTATTCGTACATGTGCTAACCACCTTCCTCCCTTAGCAAAACAGGTTTACATACCAACCACTGTTACTACGACCCATGCTAGTCTCCCCCGTGAAGATCCGGGTAGAGAATACGTCTTCAGCAACCCATGCTAGTCTCCCCCGTGAAGATCCGGGTAGAGAATACGTCTTCAGCAACCCATGCTAGTCTCCCAAGTGAAGATCCGGGTAGAGAATACGTCTTCAGCAACCCATGCTAGTCTCCCCCGTGAAGATCCGGGTAGAGAATACGTCTTCAGCAACCCATGCTAGTCTCCCAAGTGAAGATCCGGGTAGAGAATACGTCTTCAGGAACCCATGCTAGTCTCCCAAGTAAAGATCCGGGTAGAGAATACGTCTTCAGCAACCCATGCTAGTCTCCCAAGTGAAGATCCGGGTAGAGAATACGTCTTCAGCAACCCATGCTAGTCTCCCAAGTGAAGATCCGGGTAGAGAATACGTCTTCAGCAACCCATGCTAGTCTCCCCCGTACCGTAAAAGACGACTATGCTTGTCATGAGAGGCGACTAACGGGATCGGATGGTCAGACACGCTGACTTGGTTGATACATGTCATCGTGTCCCATGCCTAGATCGATGCACATGATGTCATTC